AAGTGAGAGTATGACTAGCCATACTTGCAACTTTTGGTTGCCTATTTAAGTAGTCTGCCCAAGGTTCCACACTAGCTGCCATACCTGCAACCCAACTAGAAGATCTTAATAAAAAAATTAAAAATACTAATATATAATTATTATTATTATTTTTTTTGGTAATTCTGCCTTTATTTATTAAAGTATCAAGACTAATAATTTACATTACAAAATTAATGTCTATCTACTACCTAACCAAATTAAGACTCACTCGATACCAGGTACCCAGGTGTGACCTGCTATTATGATTGTTTATCTCCTTCAGGGTTTTCAACTCACTAAAAACTTGTTTCCCAGAATCCTTGATTGGCTGCTATATACCATGTCAAGAGCACTACTTATTTTAGTATTTTAAGCTTGTTTCAAGATGACCACTTCAGTTTCATATTTTTGGTTATCCAGTTTTTAATATTTTGGATTACTCAGATTTTTTTCCCTCTTTCCAAATTATTTTTCTCTTTTTTTCTTTTAGCTTTTTCATTTTCTTAATCTTTATTACTGGATTTCCCTTTTTTTATATCTGTGATGTTTGGGTCTCTGTTTTTTTTGTCCAAAATGATTTGGTTTTTCTTTCCTTTTGGGTCTTTCTTTCTTCTTTTTTCTAACTTATGATCTTTCTCCTATTCTACTATATTCTCATATCTAAAGTTTCAGATATGTTTTCAGAACTTTTCTTTAAAGCTACCCAAGAAGATATTTGTTACTTTCTTCTTTTCTATCCAATCTTGGCACAAATCTTTGAGATCTCTCTTTTTCCTTTTAGTTATAAGACCTCTTATCAGTTTTTTTCTTGTTTCTTTTTTTTCTGCTATAGTTTGTCCAAAAATCTTTTTTTTTATTTTTTTCTAAGAGAAATCTATTGTATTGTTTTTCTTTTCTAATTTTTTAACCATTTTATTGCTTATTTCGGTTTCTATTCTGTTTTAGATATTTTGATATATTGTACAAGTTGCCAGATGATCTTGTATTTCTGTTGCTTTTATACATGCTATACATGTACTAGTTTTATATAGAACTAGGTTTTTTTGGTTAAGTTTGTCTAGTGTTGGTAGGGTTTTGTTTAGATACTTAATTCTAAATATTTATTCTCTATTTTTTTCTGTACTTGTACAATTTCCCCTTTTAAATTTGTCTATATCCATCTATGTTTTCCACCATGCTATTTTATTTTCTTTTTCTTTCTATTCAAACCACCTCTTGTTGCATTCTAAATTTGCCTACTCTATATCAAGATACTTTAGAACTATCTTGTTTATTTCACTATCTAGTCTTAAATTTTTTTACTTTACTGTAGCCTTGAAAAGGTTGCTCTATAGGTTTTTAAATTCCAAAACTGCTCCTTTTTTGGCTCCTTCTTTTGCTAACTTATCTGCTAAGTCATTTTTCTAAATATTGCTATGCTCTTTAATTTTCTTCATATATAGATCTATATTTTTGATTTTTTTGAGCCTTTGTATATACTATAAAAACTTTTTATTTTAAGCTCTTCTCTTAATTTGTGTGTTCTTTGACTTTTCTTAATAGCTTGTATTGCTGCAATGTTGTCTGTTACTATTGTAACTCTTGCGTCCTTAAGTGTTGCAAATAGCACAGTTGCTATAGCTTCTAGTTTAGCTCTTGTTAATGAAGGCCAATTAGTTATTACACACAAAAAGTTTGTTATCAGATCCTTCACTCACTTTTTTTTTTTAAATACTACCCAGCCTGCTCTTATTTTCACTTTATCATATTGTTCTTTAGGATTTAGCCAGGAGCCATCTGTATAAAAAATAAGTTCTTTTTCTCTCTGAAGCAGGTGTGTTTTCTCTTGTAACTTTCTTATTATATCTGTATCTTGAACTCCACTTTCTATGATTTCTTCTTCTAAGAACTGAATTTTTATATTTTTGATATACAGAAAGTGATTTAGTTGCATATTTTTATAAGTTGGTTTCTTGAGAGACAGATATTGCTTTGGTATTTTGAGTTTCCAAACTTTATAATTTTTATATTGTATTTTTTCTAAAAGGTTTTTGTTTATAACTTTTTTCATCATTTTAAATTTTCTTCTGTTCTTGCAAGGTTGGTCTTCTATACCTTGTTTACATCTTGTGCATTGTACTAGATGGAGATTTTGGCCTGTTGAATCAGTTTCTTCTTTTAAATATTTTATTTCTAGTACTTCTGATTTTCTTTTTCTTGCTATTTTTTCTATACTGGCACTTTTGTCTAGATTCTTATATATTATCTACTCTTTTTTTCTCAAATCTTGACTTATTTCTTCAAGGTTTACTCTGATTTCTAAACTCTTTACTAACCATACTGGTATTCTTTTTTACAGATTTTTTGATCTTTAAGCTCCAATACTTTATTTTCTAAACTTATGAATCACTTGAGTCTTTTGCCTTTGGTTTAAACTTCTCTATTTCTTTTAACTTGCTCTTATGTTAGTAATTTGCCTTTTGTAGTTTCAACAATTTGGTCTAGAAAGAAAATATTAACTGTTTTCTCTTTGCAAAAACTATTTGCATCTTCAATATTGAGCAGGTCTGCTATTGTGGTTTCTTGTTTTTCTAATATTAGACTCTTTTCTAGCTCTAGAGCTCAGATATTTATTTTAAGATTACTTGCTTTTTGAAGAATTTTGTAGTTAATATTGTGTCAGATTTTTATTTTGTCTAATCTTGTTTTACTGAGAGCTAAGATACAATTGGCACTCTTGCAGTCTAGTTGTGACTGTTTTAGTCTCAACTAGGTTATCTGCCTAATCTTTTTATAGTTGTTTAATATGGCTATTAGTTCTGTTATATGATACACTATTTGATTTTACTATATTGTTTTAAGCCCGACAATGCTCTTATATACAAGCACTGCATTTGCAACTATTTTGGCCATGCTGGCTTTGTTTTTAATTAGATTGAGGATAGGGCTTTGAAGCTTGTTATACACTTCTTTTGGCAGAATATGATACTGTAGTCTATACTCAATTCTTGGTAAAAAAACTTTGTTATTTAAGTAGACCAGGTGTGCTAATGAAACCTTTTTCTTTTTAAATATATTGACTATTATATTTACTTCATTTTGAACTATATTTATTGCTGCTCTTCTTTCTGCTTTTGCTGTGAGCCACACTTCTAGGAATCTAGTTGTTTCTTTTTCTTTTTAATTAGAATCTGTTTATCTCCTTTTATTTTCTATAAATATATTATTAATATAACAGTATATATATTTTTTATATTATATTTTTTTTACTTTTTTTTGTTAAATTTATATTTAATATAGTTATTTTTTAATAAAGATAGCATTTTTTCTTATCAACTTTAGAGCTAATTTTTTTTTTTATTTACATTTTTTTGTTTTTTTTATTTTTTATTTTTTGGTTTTTGTTTTTTGTTTATTTTTTTTCTTTATTAGTGGATTCATTCCACGCGTCTAATATTGGCCGCGGGACTTTAACATGCGTATAAGACCTTCCTATTTGCCTTGGTCGAAGATTAGGCTATGCTCCCATTTATGAATAAAAATTTCTGTGTGATTCATATAAATTATTGTCATGTCTGTTTATTATACTTGCTGAGTGCTCGTATCACATCTTCTATATTTCATACACTTACTTATTTTTGCATATTGTCTCGGCCTTACATTACTACTTATCATATATTTCTATTCTTGTACATATCCCTTTGATAATACTTTCATTTTCGGTTCTATCAGAGTTAAACCGGCTTAGTGTAAGTAACAGCGGTATTAATTTTAGTATGCAAGTTTGGTTGGCTGCAATATTATCATGTGGTGAATGATCAAGTTTATTAAAAATTTAACCATTAATACCATTAATAAATCCGAAATTAATGATTTATTAGTTGATAATACTTTAGTGGAACACTACTAATAATATTTCGTATGTGCTTTGAAATAAATAAAAAAATTTTATTAGCATAATGATTTTTAGTAAAGTGGCTTTTGAGAAATTATACCAGAACTATAACTCTAATTTAGTAATTTAATTAAAAAATGTCTGTGTGGCTTAACGTTTCCATGTAATATGGAAATAAAGTGCTCGAATTATCATTTGAGATTAATAAAGTCAAATCATTATTGTTGTCAATTGATACTAGTGAATTGTTCCAATCATTTAATGTCGTCGCTTGATATAAATGTAGGGGCTGCTCCGAAGTGCTCAAATTACCATTTGAAGCCGGAGTTTGTAATCCGAAGGAAGATGAAGTGCTCTCGAATAAATAGTTATTCCCGAATATGCAGTGGTTCATGTAATCATCTGACATAAGAGTTGGGGAAAAATCGTTTGTGGTGGGTTGGATGCTAGTTCCTGTAGACTTGATTTTTTGAGAACTATGAGAGATATTATGTCGATTTAACTAGCAAATCCTTTTTTTATATATCAATTACTAAAGTGAATATGAATATTAATTAATACCTCTGATTATTCAATTGATAAGTTTGATCAACAGCTTCATATGACTTTGTCATGTCATTTAATAAGGCTATTATATAGAGGAATATTGAAAATTAAGTAACTGGATATACAATCACACAAGATTAGGATACACCTTCTATATAGTCTCAAAATTTTTATAATCACTATCACGTTTTTAATGAAAATACCACACTTAAATGCGATCGCAGATACAGTCAAACCTCTCTATAAGCACACATTTGGGATATTGGGATACAGAACAACGTGATTGTAAAGAAGTGTAACAATTATAGAAATCAAATTTATTATATTTAACAATAGATTGTTTTTAAAAAAAAAGTGTTTATAAAGAAAATTTGCTTATATAGGAGGTGACTATAGAGAGGTTTGACTGTAGTTTTCATATGTAAAAGTCAAATGTTACTAAGTAAATTGACTTAATAAATTTGTTAGAACAAGATATACTTATTCTGAAATTTCATGTAAATCGGACGACATTTCAATACGGTTTATACGTTTCTACGAAAAAAATTAAAAATTTTAACGTTTTTTTTGTGGAAGCGTAAAATGATAAAACTTATTAATAAAATCATCCGATTTCAAGTTAAGTGCATTTTGTTCCTTCTGGACAACTTATTATACAAAAGCCGATTTATTTAGTACAATTTTGTTTTTTATATATGAAAATTATCTGCGATCGTATATAAGAATTTTTTTAAATAAAATTTATAAAAATCTATAGTTTACTTCTTTACAATCACACCGACAAAGGAAAACCTGTCATCGGGCTTTCAATTATATTTTGTACCGGACAAATTTAATTTCTTAGGGAATATGTCCGGTACAAAATATAATTGAAAGCCCGATGACAGGTTTTCCCCTGGCGGCAC